TAGATAAGTGTTGAAGAAGAGAAGTGTTCAAGCCAAGAACACTTGAAGAATCACTTGAAGATTCGAAGCTCTAACACAAATATGATGGAGTTTGTGTAAGATATCCATGATTTGAGTGGAAATAAGTGAGATAATCATAAGGAGAATGGATTATGCTTACCAAATGTGGAAGAACACTTGATAATCAGCCTTGAATCTCGAGTTTGGTGGAGAAAAAGTTTAAGAGAAAAGTGGTGTTTGATACTTAGTGAAATGAGAGAAAACGAGAGAAATGAGGAGAGAGGATGTTTGTTCCAGCTCTAAAAACGTGGGAATGAGTGTAAATTGAGTGTAAGGGACATTGAAGTGACCTAGGTAAGGTGGGGAGGTATGGCTGGTCATAGAGTGGGTGTGGGGTGGTTGCTTGTGACATTGGATAAGGCAAAGTCAACACTCCACCTTTAATAATTCACCCATTTGATTTTTATTATTTAGATAATGATTTTCATCAAAATATGTTTAAATTATGAATATTTAGGGTTTATTATGTTAAAATATAATTTCTGGAGAAAATCCCGCTTTAAAATCACGAAAAACGAGCTTAAAATGTTAAAAATATCAAAAATGGGCTAAAAGTGACAAATTTCCGAATTTTGGCCGAGGTTCGGCCTTCTGATGCTGAAACCGAGAGGAGGGAGGGTAGAAACCGAGAGGGGAGAAGGGAGAGGGTAGGAACCGAGAGGGGAGAAGAGAGAGGGTAGGAACCGAGAGGGGGGGAGAGAACAGAGAGGCGGAGTAGAGACCGAGAGGAGGGAAGAGACAGAGAGGCGGAGTAGAGACCGAGAGAAGGGAAGAGATAGAGAGGCGGAGTAGAGATCGAGAGAAGGCGACTGAGACAAAGAGGCGGAGTAGAGACGAGAGAAGGCGACAGAGACCGAAAGCAGAGAAGAGAACAGAGAGGAGAGAAGGAGCAGAGACCGAGAGGAGCAGAGACCGAGGCTTGGTCTCGCATGCCTCAGCCAACAGAGGCTCGGTTTTGATCCTAAGAGGCCTCTCTTCTTGGTTTCGGTTCCTAAAGCCTATTTTTCTCGTTTTCGCCCCGTTTTAAGCCGTTTTTGACCCGGTTAAGGGTCGGAATGACCCGAATGATTCTAAAAAGTTACGGGAACTATTTGAGGGAGATTTGGGAGAGATTTCTCATACTTGGAGAGATTTGGGAGAGATTTAACATTCTTGGAGAGATTTCTCATACAGAGAGATATTTGAGAGAGATTTCACATACTTGGAGAGATTTGGGAGAGATTTGACATTCTTGGAGAGATTTCTCATACAGAGAGATATTTGAGAGAGATTTCACATAATTGGAGAGATTTGGGAGAGATTTGACATTCTTAGAGAGATTTCTCATACAGAGAGATATTTGAGAGAGATTTCACATACTTGGAGAGATTTGGGAGAGATTTGACATAGAGAGAGATAGAGTGAAAACGATTGAGAGAGGTTCCCTGTGTCACAATTGTGAGTGTCCGGCATCGCAATGCATGGTTCGTAAACCCTGTTAAGCCTTGTTTAAGGATCTTACACACTCCCGATGGGTATGCAACATTGTTTTATCGGTTTGGCTCGCCACATACCACAGTTTTAGGTTAAGGAGATCTAGGTGTTCGCACTTTTGATTTATGATCTCTTATTAGAATAGAGAGTTATGTAGAAATTTCATAATGTAATTTTTAGTACTCACGGGCAAATTGAGTCAAACGGTTCGACTTGCTGACTTTAGTTGACTTTGACTTGACCGAAATTTGACAGTTGTCACAATATGGTGATGTGGTATGTGGACTCGAGTCGTCATGTGGGTTAATGGACTCAGGAGACTCGACCCATTCGTCCTGTGGTGACCCATTTTGCTGGTCCGGTGTGTCCGGCACCCATTCACCATCTTCATCGTAGAACTCATCATCGAAATCGAAGCCATCGACTATGAAAATCATTCCCGGCACCGTCTTTATCTTGGTCGTTCTCTCCCAAGTCCAAGTCTTGTCTTTTTCGAACACCACGTTGCGACTCACATAAACTTTGCTAGTGTCTGGGTCTAAGAGTTTGTAGGCCTTTGACCCTTTCTCCACACCCAGATGAATTACCTTCATGCTTCGTTCATCCAACTTCTTCAGATGGTTCTTGGCAATCATCATGTGAGCCAGACAGCCAAACACTCTGAGATGACTTACATTTGGTTTTCGACCTGTCCACATTTCATATGGTGTTGATTCATTCAAAGCCTTTGTGCAGATTCTGTTTAGAACATAGGCTGCATGATTCACTGCTTCACCCCATAGCACATCGGGAATTCTCATGGCCTTTAGGTTGCTTCTTACCATCTCCAGCACTGTTCTATTCCTCCTTTCCACCACGCCGTTTTGCTGTGGTGAATATGGCAAGGTGAAATGTCGCTCGAGCCCTGTTTCATTGCAGTACTCGGTAAATTGATTAGATACAAATTCACCACCTCGATCGGTCCTTAAAACCTTCATTTTTTCACCAGCTTCTACTTCAACCTTCATTCTGAAATTCTTGAAAGTCTGAAAAGCCTCATATTTTGTCTTCAGTAGATAAACCCACATGACTCTAATGAAGTCATCCACTAATAGCAAAAAATACCGATTACCTACAGGCGTAGGAGGTGATACCGGACCACACAGATCTCCATGAACAAGTTCAAGTCTGTGTTTTGCCCTGTAATTTGTGTGAGAGGGATAAGGTAGCCTGGTTTGCTTCCCTACCAGACAGCCTTCACACCGACGAGATGGCACAGTGATCTTTGCCATTCCATCCACTAAATTTCTCTCGGCCATGAGTTTAAGTGCTGGAAAATTGACATGGCCAAATCGAGCATGCCAGAGCCATGTCGGGTCTTTAACTTCAACAAGCAAACAAACAGGTCTTATCTCCTCCAGCTCAATTTTGTAAAGACGGTTCATAGACTTTCTCACCTTCATCAATAGTCGCCCAGCATCATCGTGCACCCACAGATACAGTTCCTTAATCTTTATCTCATCACCTCCTTCTAATAATTGGCCCAAACTTATGATGTTACCGCATAAGTCGGGTATGAAGTAGACTTCAAGAAGCTTCCTCTATTCCCCGTTCTTGCATCGAAAAATAATGGATCCTTTTCCTTCGATCCTAACTCGTGACTTGTCTCCAAATCTCACGAAACCTTGAATGCTTCGATCTAACTTGCAAAACTTTGTTTCATCCCCTGTCATGTGGTTGCTTACGCCGGTATCCAAGTACCACACTTTTGACTGGTTCAAGTCTTCTCCCTTAGATTTCAACTTTGGCTTCACATTTTCTTCATTCAAGAAAACTTCACCATATTCTATCTTCTTTTCACATGATGCTAGCAGCAACGCGGGTTCGTTATCATCTTGAATCAAGTTGTTCTCTTGCTTCCTCTCCTTCCTGGGATTCTTGCAGGTGGCAACGTAGTGACCAAATTCCTGGCAATTATAACATTGTATCCCACTCTTGTCATGATTGCTTGGTTCACCGTTGTTCCCGTCTTTCTGGTGATAGCCACCTCTACCACGACCACCGCGACCGCCATTGTTTCTTCCCCGTCCTCTTCCTCTGCCACGTGAGCCACCAAAACCCCCTCGATTCGTTTTTGACTTTGTGTCTCCATCATTTTTCTTCTTGCTCCGATCAGACCACTCTTGAAACGTCATGAGTAGTTTCTTATCATCGGATTCGTTGTGGCCCTTCATTCTCTCCTCGTGTGCCTTTAGTCTTCCTATTACTTCTTCCACCATCATCTCATCAAGATTTCCGAATTGCTCCAGCGTTGAAGCTAATTGAAGGAACTTTGGTGGAACTGCCCTGAGTAGTTTCTTCACCACGTAGGGATCATCGACTGCATCTCCTAATGTACGTAGAGTGCTGACAATATTTATTACCTTCGCAGCAAACTCATCAACGGTCTCTGTTTCTTTCATGTTCATTGCTTCAAACTCCATCTTCAGTGTTTGAATTCTTGCGGTCTTCACACGATCCGCTCCTATGAATATGATCTTTAGTGCTTCCCACGCATCTTTGGCTGAGTTCTTTTCGGCCAATGACATTAGGAGATCTTCTGGGATTCCCTGATAAATGGCGGCTAGTGCCATTTTGTCCTTCTTCACCTCCACTACTGTGTTTGGAGTTCGTGGCTCAACTGCATCCCATACGTTCTGAGCCTGCATAAACACCTTCATCTTGATGGCCCATGCACCATAGTTTGTACGTGTCAACATAGGATAGTGTAGTGTTATCTGCCCGTCTTTGTCACCGTTGTTGCTGTTGCCCGCCATTTCTTCTCGTGGTTGATATTTGGGCATGCACAAGATTTTTTGCTCTGATACCAAGTGTTGGGTTTTCTTCTAACCTGCAACTTAATGTAACAGTGACAAAGGGAGTATAGAAGGAATTGAGGCAAATGCTTTCTATTTTATTGAATACTTTTGAAGAGATCGAAGTACATTTGTTGGGCATATTGCCTTCCTATTTAACATGAAAAACTTGCAATAAAAACGGAAACAAACTAGCTAACACCTTGAGACTAGGGGATCACATCTCTCGTGGTTTTACTTATTCAAAGGACTATCAAATTAGCTAAATAAAACATGTGTAATAAATTGAACCGGATATAACAACTAAACCGGTCATAATTCTGAATTAACATTACAAAACAGATGTTCTTCAGCCAAAATTTAAAGATTAACTCCCGATGTAGACAAAAGGTATAAATTTAAGAATAAAATAACAGATGTTTGATAAATCGTTCTAAAAACATCTGTTGTTGGTTGTTGTTTAAACTTCTAAGCTTTCCATAGTAGTTGATTTTGATTTCATCAAACTTTCATGAGATAAGTTTATTTTGATGTAAATTTAACTATGTGAGTAAATAGCAATATATTTTGCCGGTGTGTATTGAATATTTATAGCAAAAGGTATATAAGATATGTGTACTTTTTTTGTTAACCAGATCATAAAGAACTATGAATTATAATGATTGAAAATCTCAATCACCTTCACCTATTTACGCAGAAAATCATATTATTTTACAAATAACAATTGTAAATTGTAAACTATGATTTCTACAAAAAAAAAATTATAAAAAAAAGGAACCAAAAACTATTTTCACAAAAAGTATATATAAAATAAAAATAATAAAAATAAAAATTGTATCCTATTGACTAGTGGCGGCTGTTTTCTCACTGGGTTCTGTCTCAATCATAGAACTATTGACTGGTAATGGTTTCTCATTCATGGGGATGTCATTGCCACCTGTCAAGGGACTGGTGGGACCCGATGCTTTTGGAGAATTTGTGGTTGAGCCACGCGGTCTATTGAGAGCATGACAGCGTGGACAAAAGTATGTAATGAATGGGAAATCCTCTTTCCTTGCAAGACCTACAAAAATAAGACATGCTTTTAAGTATTATATTTTCTCTCTTTTTTTTTTATTTTTTATTTTTTATTCAGGATTTGTTTGGTAGGAAGGAATGAAATCTTGAAAGAAAAGAATGGAATGAATTGTCATGTTAAGTTGGTGAAAGAAAGGAATGGACGGAATTATTACATTTCCTTTTGTGGCCAATTTTATTCTCTTTTTTATTACTACATACCAAAGGCTACCTCAATATTTAATGATAGCAAAATTTAATCTAGTAAATTATATAAGAGTAGGTTTTTTTACATGCATAAAAAACGATTTAATAGAGAAGTTCATCAAATAAGGCTTTCCTAATTTGAGACCTAACTTTTTTTAGATTTGTACTTGTTTATTTTAACCTTTTTCTTAAAAAATTTCATCTAATTCCAAACAACACTTAACTATATATGAGTATTCTTTATTTTTTTTTACTTAATGTAGAAAGAATAACTTAATACAGACATTAAGTACTATCTTTCTATTATATGTCCTCATTTATTTTCTTCTTCCATTTCCCATCATTTTCTGTAATTTTAAACAACATTTAACTTAATGGGAAATTGCATACGACATTTCGAACTAAAATGTTCAATTATGTCACATATCAAGCAGCTATAACTTTTGAAATTAGTACTTTTTAGGTTAAAGTATATTTTTGGTTGACTTTTAAGGTATCTTTTCTTGTTTTAGTTTTTATTTCACTGTTTCATAAAACTTTTCTCCCCTCTCACTCACCTTGTAAATTTCATTCCATTAAACCCTTGCAAAATGGCCATTATGCCCTCATCATTTCCTTCAAGAACATATTGGTAATTAAAAAGCCTAAACAGTTTTTTAAGGCTTTTAGATTGATTTTTGTTTTATGAACAATTTTTACATCTGGGCTTGAGTTAACTTATTTAAACTTTGTGATTTCACTCGTTCTTTTTTTTTTTTACGTTTCTATGTTGCTATGTTCTTGCTTGTTAGTTTTGGTGTATTTAGGTTGAGAATATGTAGGCGTTCTTTAGATATTAGATGGGTTTTAACTTTTTTTTTTTAAAAGAAACAGCCAAATATATACCTAAAATTTTGCATTACCCAAGATTTCTAACCTAGTTTTACCATAAGTTAAGAGTGTAGAAATGAAGTGTGTGTACTTACCATTGTGCATAAGGCAATTCCCACATATAAGTGCGAAAGATTGTGTAGGGTCCTCTCCAACAAGCAAAGCTGCAACTTTAGCAAGCCAACCCCCATCTTGAGTCCCTGAAGCCGAAGGGTTATGATGCTCAACAACAATCTGATGAGGTGGCGACACCTCAGACACCTCATCTTCTAAATGCTGAATCATGTCCACATCAGATTGCTGCATTACATGGCCTCCCCCCTTTGATGTTGTAGCATCAGATGTATTTCTTTTCCTCAGCCCACAAGATGTCACAGGCTCAAAATCATTGCTCTTCCCTGTATCTTGAAGATCATGATGAGACTCCTCTAGGAACATTCTTATCCCTGAATCAGCACTCAATTTCGATGCAAGAACAGCTGCAGCAGCTGCTTTGGCTGCTGGATCAGGGTCATATTTCTGCCAATAAACATTTTTAATTCAATAAAATCTTTGCAATGATGATTAAGGAGATCACTATTGTGTACCTGAATTAGTTGCTGAGTGGTGTAGTAATTTGTTCGTTCTTTTAGTTCATCAATCTTTTCTTGTCTTTCAGCCTGAAGGCTTTCTAGGGTTTTCTGATCTCTGCTATCACCTATTTGAGAGAAATGCATGAGAAAGTTCTTGCATTTGAGCATTGATTAAGTTTAGGAGCTTACACATTCTTGTGAAGCAAAAAAGTGCCCAATACAAAGCGGATGAGAAAGCAGGCAGAAGAAAGATAGGAAGAACTCGTAATGCCCTCATTTGCCAGTCTAAGTCCACAGATCTTGTTGTAATTATAGCGTAAGCCAATGCTACAACCTGTAAAGAAAGGAAATCAACATGAAAACGAGAAGAGCCTGAAGAAAGTAACAGAAATTAGCGTGTAATGGAGAAGTGAGAAGGACCTCAAGGAAAACAGAAACGACGACTAAATTCCTAGCGGTTGACCTCCAACTTGAAGATCTCCTCTTCATTTTAGAAATAAGAGTGGCTTCTTCTCTAGATATGTATTGCAATCGTTTCTCAAAATCATCACCATGTAACCTAAACAAAAACAAACCATTCCAGACTCGAGACCAAAAACTCCTCTTCCTCTTTTTATTATCATCGCCGTCTACTTCAGCCATTTATCCTCTACTCAATTCCATAAAATATACAATCAGCACAATACGAATTGAAAAAAAAAAAAAAACAAATGACATGATTATTATTCAACGGAGACGTTGTCATCGGATCAAAACCCTAACAATGAAATACGTTGGAATCGGAAACTTACGTACCTGGAATTCAATAATCGACTTAAAAGTTCTGATTTCTGAAGAAGGCGCGAATGCAAAATCTCTCGCTGTAATTGAAGATGAAAGCCAATTTTGATCGTGGATAGCAGTGATGTTTTGATTGTTTCGTGATGATCAGAAAATCCTATTCGATCGATCGGCGATTGGAAGGGAAAACGGATTTAGTTGGGTCGGGCGTAAAGCATAAAAATTTAGCCGCGAAATCGAGGATAGTGGTGACGTTAAGAAAAGCATATAGATATCCCCCATACTACCCCTTCAACTTTTAAATTTTATATTGACGTTAAGAAAAGCATATAGACATTTTTATAAATTATAGGGGTGATTTTTTTAATTTATTCTTTATATAGGGCTCAAAGATGTTAATATAAGAAAACCTTAAACATATAAAAAAAACCTTTTGTAACTTATTTTTTAGATATGGAACAACATATGAAATTTTTGTGGCGAAAATCTTAGAACTTAAAATTCTAGAGATAAAATCTACCAATATATAAAATTGTTATGTAGTCAAAGTATTAAACCTAAAAATTATAGGAACCAAATATACCAATATACAAAACTTGTATCTACCAATATTCAAAATTTTAGGACCAAAATCTCAAACTCAAAAATCCATTGGTCATTTCTCAATTCAAATTAGTATATATATATATAATAATAAATATTCATTTCTCAATTCAAATTATAAGGATAGAATTTTTTTGTTCCGTTTGTTCTATATGAAACGAAGGCAAAGTGGTAACTCATAAACCGTGAGATGTTGTAAATTATCCGGTTTGGACCATCCAATGATGGTGAATACAAGACTTGCCTTATCATGCTAACAAGCAAAGTGTTTAGATACATAGCCACAACCACTCAATTGAGCAACTTTCACTTACAGAAAAATGGGTTTTCTTGAAAGCACAGAAAATGATCTTTCTTTGGTAGGTTTTAATCTATCCACAATTGATGGGATTAATCTTTGCAGATCATTCTATGAAAATAGAATAAGTTCTTTGTTGGATGTGTTTCTCCTTTGAATCAAAATATGTTCTAGCTTATAATAATAAAATTATTGTTATTCTCAAGATTGGTTAGCTGAGAATTGTTGGGTTAACAACAAAACAAGTTAAGCACTTCAAACAAATATCAAGACACAAACATCGGTAAACACAAAACTTCTTAAAATGTAAATAAAAAAAACACATGATATTTCACATGGTTCGGCCAAGGTGACATACGTCAATGGGCGAACGAGAGAGAGAGGGAGAGAGAGAGAGAGAGAGAGAGAGGATTTTATTAACTTTCTGGAAAAATTACAAGCACTTAAAGTTGTATCTCACTTTGAGCTCTCACCGAAATCTAGCAATTTACAATGCTGGGGTGTGAGCCTATTTATACTTGAGGGATCAAATTTAAAACACTAATGGACCAAGCCCATTGGCACGTAGGCCCATGAATGGTAACAACCAATCACAATCCGACATGCAACATCTTCTGGAACATTCTTGAGTATCATCATCTTCTAGACAGACTTGGATCAACATGTCACAAAAAACGAATCAATATGGTGCATCATGTACCAAGATGGTCCATGATGGCGCAACAGCTTCTTCATAGCGCAACAACAACCCTAGATGGTGCAACACGGATATAAATGGCGTAAGAGCATCAAGTATGGCGTACAAACATCAATCTTGGAGCAACAACATCACCATGGAGAAACAGGCACATGCATGGCGCAACAAGTAGCATTTTGGCGTAGGGATGAGCAAAGGAACCGGCTAGAACCGAACTCGACCTGGGAACCAAAGTCGGCCGAATTTAAGAACCAAACTGGACCGTCAGTTCTACCGGTTCCAGTCGCTTCTTGTCCTGTCTTCCTTGTTAGAACCAGTCCTCAAGAAATAACAATAAACGGTTTCGGTTTTTTCCGGTTCTACCGGTTCCAGTTCTACCGGTTCTGATTCCAAAAATCCACAAGAATATCGTCTCAGTCCTGGCCCGGATGGTTCTATCCGATTTCGATTCCAGTACCAGTTCCGGTTTCGGTACCGGTTCCTCAGTCCAAATGCTTATCCATATCTTGGCGCAAGAGTAGAACAAGATGGCGCAATAGGGAGTGTCATTGTGCAAGCGCATCCTTCCTGGCCTATCCTTTTATCAAATGATGCAACAAGGACTCATTGATGCTCCATATCCCTCCCAAGTGCTCCAAACCTCTTCTAGGTGCTCTAAACCCCCTTCTACATGATCTGTTTCTTTCGCACTTAATTCGTTCCTTTGTCTGATGATCCATTCCTGTAATGCCTACATTTTTGGCTAAGTATTAGTATGATGATGTAATAGTTCGGGTCAACAGTTGTGACCTATTTAAAGTAATGAAGAGGGATTATTTGAGTATTATGTGATTTATGTGAATTATATGCAATATACGTACTTATAACCATATAATAAAATAATAATAAAAAATATGTGTTAAAAATAGAATGAAGGTTTGACCCAATATCTTTGTTAAAGTAGTCGTAACAAGGATTTCGAGGATATAAGGAACGTTGGTGTAACAACCCCAAAATAATGAAAAAAAATTCTATTTAAAACATTACTTAAAACATAATTGTCAAACCATAAATAAAATCATAACATAAATCAGAGTGTTAATTCCAATACATATTTCCGTTATTAGAGTAAAACATCCCAGGCTGATTAATCAATGGTGTGTGCCATGCGATCACCCCGAGCTCTTCCTTCCGCAACCAGAAGTACCTGAAACCAAAACTAAAAACCGTAAGCATGAAGCTTAGTGAGTTCCCCAACCTACCACATACCATGCACATAATCGCATACTGCAAATATTGGGCCTCGCCTACTACCTCGGGCCCTGCCCACTACAACATGCCCCGCCTGGCTTCGAGCCCTACTTGGTGTACATATTTGTTTCTCTTAGGCCCCACCTATCTCTGGCCCCCACCCGCTAATATATATTAACATACAATCATATCATAACACATAAACTGAACATATACTACTGGATTCCTGTTCTAAGGCCTTGCCTATCTTGGGCCCCGCCCCTGTCCTGCTACTGATGAGTCATGGAACCCCGTCCACGCTCCTACTGATAGTGAGATATGGGCCCAGCCGACACTCACTCCCTTCCTACCTTGGGCCTCGCCCCTGCTCTACTGCTAATGAGATATGGAACACTGTCCACACTCCGGTTTTAGTGAGATACGGGACCTCGCCCACACTTACCTCCCTACCATCCACGCTCCTACTGATAGATGAAGAAAAGAGAAAGGCCAACGTCGGTGCTCTAGATAAGTTTATCCATAGACAACCTATTGAAGAGCATGTTGAAGAGCACATTGAAGATCACATTGAAGAGCATGTTGAATAGCACATTGAAGAGCATGTTGAAGAGCAAGAGCATATAGAAGTAGAAGAGGCAGAAGAGCAAGAGCCCGTTAAAGAGCTTGTTGATATATATGATCCAAGAAGGTGGGAAAAACTTAATTTTGAGGAGATTAAACTTTTGGTCCAGAAAGGCCCTAAAATAGATAACAGTATTATGTATGGTCCTTACGATAAATTTGGTAGACGGTTTTATGTAGCTTTATATACAAGAACATTACCAAATTTGGAGAACTGTGATAGAGAATGGCTAGTATATTCAAAAGAGTTAGACAAAGTTTTTTTTGTTTCTGTTGTAAAGTGTTTAGAAAAGGGATTTCAAAAGGTAAATTGGATGATGAGGGTTATGCATATTGGCACCATGTTACCACTAGGGTTAAAGAACACAAAATTTCATTGGATCATCTTACAAATGGAAATAAGTGGTTTGATATGCGTAAAACATTGTACTTGAATAAAACAATTGATAAAGTTCAATACGAGCAATTCAAGAAAAAAAAGAGATTACTGGAAACAAGTCCTTTTGAGAATCATTGCAGTAGTGAAGTTTCTTGTTAAACATAATTTAGCATTTCGTGGATCCAATGAAAAGGTGTATCAAAATGGTAACTATAAATTGTAATTTTTTTGTTCTAATTCCACAAAATACCTTTTTGTTAATTATTATGACTAATTTCACTTCTTATTTGTTAATTTTATTTAATAGGCAATGAAATTTTTTTGGGTGTCGTTGAAATGTTGGAAGAGTTTGACCTGGTTATCAAAGAGCATGTATGGCGGATCATAAGTGATGGGCTTCATGTGCATTATCTTGGCCACTTAATCCAAAACGAACTAATATCTTTGCTAGCTCAAGAAATTAAAAAAGAACTTATCAAGAAGATAAAGGAAGCAAAGTATTACTCAATCATACTTGATTGTACTCCCGATTCAAGTCACCAGGAACAAATGACTATAATGGTGAGGTATTTAACGTTATCATATAATTCTGTTACTATTGAGGAGTCCTTTTTAGGTTTTTTGAATGTTGATGATACCTCTGGAAAAGGACTATTTGATATTACACTTGAGGAGTTAAAGTCTCTTGGTCTTGAAATTGATGATATATGTGGTCAAGGCTATAATAATGGAGCAAACATGAAAGGAAAACACCAAGGAGTGCAAAAGAGATTTTTAGATATAAATCCTAGAGCATTTTACACTCACTGTGGTTGCCATTCTCTTAATCTAACATTATGTAATATGGCTAACAACTGTGTTAAAGGAAATAACTTCTTTGCAAATTCTACTAAGAGGTGAGAAATTTTGAAAGATAATGTTAAAGATTGGAGTCTTAATTCATTGTGTCAAACTCGTTGGTAAAGCTGGGTTGAGAGTGTAAAGGCTATTAAACTTCAACTTGTAGATGTACGGGAAGCTTTACTTCAAGTTGGAGAAAAAGATAATGATGTTGCAATTGCAAGTGAAGCAACTTCACTAGTAGAAAATGTAACACCCCCCTCTGGCACGTATCACAATATTGTCCGCTTTGGGCCACTCGGCACGAGGACTTCCCAGGGGGTCACCCATCCCGGTACTACTCCCGCCCGAGCACGCTTAACTGCAGAGTTCTTATGGGATCTGCTGCCCTCACGGCTTTAAAACGCGTTGTGACAAGGAAGGTATCCACACACCTTATAAGTAGATGTTTCGTTCTCCTTCCAAGCCGATGTAGGATCAGGTGCAACCCACCTTCACCCCCCATTATAGGGTTCGACGTCCCTGTTGAACACATCGACCCGTGCCCTGGCTCTGATACCATTTGTAACACCCCCCTCTGGCACGTATCACAATATTGTCCGCTTTGGGCCACTCGGCACGAGGACTTC